TGTTGGGTTTGGGGATATGATTCTTGCCCATTACAAACTGTAGAAGACATTTTCTCTACTCTGCATGAACAAAACCTCCTTTTCAAGTCTCATGAGATTTGTGGTTGTAGTACAGGTGGCAGTAGTTAGTTCACTATTTGAGCTTTTGACATAATGATTAACGTCTCCTAGTCGTAAAAATAAACCTAAAAAAGTATTGCCATGGATACGCATCATACCAACTGCCCAAGAGCAAAAAACTTCCAACTGTATGTCATCCAAAACCAGAGGGGACAACTGTCCTAAGATGCAATGCCTCAACAAAAAATAACCATGAACAAAAATCTACAGAAAGAATAAATCAGAGCCACCCTAACACTATATAACCCATCCCAATTCCAACATGGGGGGTAGGAAGGTGAGGAGGATAATGGGGGAGGTTGGTTGGTCAGTGTGGTAGAGTTCTCAAACACTCACATCATCATTCCAAAGATGAAGGAAAACTCTGTGATGTCACAACTAGAGTCCTGCTTGTGATGTCATCAGCTCTGTATGTATGTAACAAACTTCTACATTCTTGTCATTGCTTGCTGCACTACTGACAAGTTCAGACGTTCACAAAGCTCTTTCAAAGTAGAACATTGAGGTCGTTTGCTGATCAAAACGGATTTTAACAAACATTGTTTTGTCCAACATGTCGAACCAAAGGCCACATTCCTCCAACGGTGAGACGAGACCCCAGCATGGAGCATGGAGAGCTGGACAGGATCTGCAAGGCTGGACTGAGAACAGAACGCCTCCCATTGGGTTACAGAGAGACCCAGAGACTTGGCTCTCTTTTGGAAAAGGAGAGAGCAAGATGGTTTGAGGAGAACCAAAAGCGAGTCGACGTGCAAAGAAAACTGGAGAATACAAAAGCCGAGTTACAAGGGGAGAAAAGACTCAAGGAGATGAAGAGAGAACTACTGACAAGGGAAGAGTTTTCTGATTCAGAGTCTCTCAGATGAGCTATAATTGCTTCCAGGGTGCACAGCGACATAAAACACAAGACGTAAAGACTGCTGCAGAAGGAATTTGAGCAATTGAAGGTAGCTCATATTGTTGGTGAGGAAGCATTCAGGTCACAAATCCAGGCATATGAAGGAGATGTCATTCACAGGTTGTCATTCACAATGACAGGTTAACCGTTAACCTGTCACGAGAGGACCCAAATTTGGGTCCTCTCGTGAATGACAGGTTAAGACAGCAAGCAGAAATATTTAAGCAGGAGGTAGATAAAGAGATGAAAGCTCACTCACTGAAAATGATGAGGGACCAAAAGATTATCAGTGAACTTGGAGCCAAGAAGGACAGTCTCCAAAAGCAACTCACTGTCCTCCAACAACGGTACTGTAGCTGTGAGGTTAATTATAAAACAGAGCTGGAAAATCTGAAAATGGAGCTCCAAGACAGAGATGAACTAGGACCTCCAAGAAGAGAAGTGGCCAGGCATCAAGAACCAAACGGGGAAAACTACACTATCCCTGTAAAAACCATTTATGACCCTGCATCCATGGATCTGGAACATCTATTAGAGAATATTGAATTTCCTGATGAATCTCCCAATGAGCTAAATGACTTCGTAAACGAGATGCTGAGAGATTCAAGCATCCTTGATCCCGAAGCCATGGAAGTGACAGACTTGTGTGTGGAAACTCTGTCAGAGAAAAGGGAAAGCAAAGATCCTGAACCAGTGGAGGAGTCTCTGAAGAAACATCTTCAGTGTGGAAAGCGATGTGACTCACTTTGAGCCTCAAGAAGCAACAAAAACTGAAGAGAAGCAAGAAAACCTCTAAAACAAGCAACTAGTAAAAAGTGTAAGGTAAGTTCTGAACCGTTTCAAGACCTCAAAACACATCTCATGTTTTAGATTAAAAAAATGGGCGGCATCTTCACAAAAAAGAGATTTTAGTTCTTAACCAAGCTCCTCTTTCTGTGGGAGTTTCTTTGTTCTTCTCGTGTTAGTGGGGGTTTCCTCTGGGTGCTCCGGTTCCACTAGATTTTCAAAAACCATGTAAATTAGGGTGACTGACCAATCTAAATTGTCCTCAACAAATGTAGTATTAATTTCTAGAAAATTTTTATTTGTGAACAGTTTAAATCGGAGAAACAAACAAAAGAAAGAGTAATTTGTGATGAGAAAAGCAAGATGATTGTTTTAGAGGACAGGTCCTGATGGTTCAGAACTGGTTCATGTCTGTCCTGAACCATTTCCAAAACCTCAAAATACATCTCAGATTTTGGACCAAAGAAAATGTTTAGCACGGTGATGCAGTGGTTAGTGCTGCATCTTCACAGAAAAGAGATCTTAGTTCTTAACCAAGTGCCTCTTTCTGTGGGAGTTTGTTTGTTCTCCCAGTGTTAGTGGGGGTTTTCTCTGGGTGCTCCGATTCCCCCCAAAATTCCTAAATCTTGTAAATTGGGGTTATTGACCAATGTAAATTGTCCTCAAAAAAGGTAATTTCTGGAAAAGTTGAATTTGCAAACCATTTGGATTGGAGAAACATAAAAAGAGTAATATCCAGTGAGAGTTGAACTCTCCAGAGGCCCTTTGTCAACCTTTGCTGTTTGTAACTTCAAACAGCATGAAATTACAATAAAAATAGGAACCCCTAACAAAAAGAACATTTATTGATTCAGTTCAGTTGTGTATTAGTGCTATACATGTTCAGCTTTCTGCCACATTATGTTGTGTTTTGTTCCTTGGAGGCTGAACTGAGGACCAGGGCCTACACAAACGCTGACCATGGAAAGAAAACAGGCTCAGGACTGAAAGACGCATGAAGTATGAAAACATTAACACCAGGCTCTTGAACTTTTGTTAAATAAACACCTCACCAGCTGTAATTGCTTAAATGTTAGTTTTTAAGATATTCCTGTTTGTTCATGTACCTCTAGACACAGAAGATGGCCTCCTGGACTCATTCTGGGAGGTATTACTTACAGTACACTAGAAGTTCCTACTGCTGGGGCCACAACCACAGCAAAGACATTTTTAACACACCTTACTGGATTCAGAAATATCTCACTGTGAACTACTGTTAAGAGATGAAAAATTATTGAACTTTAAAAACCTTTTGACTCGTTAAATCCTCTCTTATGCCCGGGTTCAGAAAAATGCTGTGCGCAAGGACTGAGATCACGCAGAGATAACAGCGTCACAATAATCAGCATTTATTCAAGACAGATGCAAACTATCACCAGACAAACATCACAAAACATCAGAAACCTCAGAGCACAAAAAACACATGAATTTACCTGAGAGAGAAAAAGACAAAAGATGGAAACAACAAACAAAAAGCAAAGACGTCTTTGGAGAAGTTGCAAGAGCAAAATCTGATTTGTTACTTCAGTGTAGAAAGTTTTATAGTAAAGGCGTATTCTTATCTTTAATTTATTCAAATAAGGCGTATCTTTGCTCATCCAACCAGGAGCTATCTCTGACCCTCTCTCAAGCCAGAAACTCCTGCTGTGTTTACGGCCTTTCACAGATGAGTGTGAACAGCTCCAACTTCTACTGTTTTGTTTTCCCACACAGACAAAAGGCAGTTCAAACGATCCTAGCAAACCATCTGCTGTAACTACAGGTAACATAAAGGTCAAACAGTCAGAATACATTGCTGATTTCAAAACCACAATTAGGCCATTTGAATCAAGACATGTTAAGTTTTAAAACTAGCTTATTTTAAATTTATTTTCTCAACCCTACAAAGTCCATGTGGTCCACATCAAGTCAGGTCTTGGGTTGTTTTGGGGTTTGATTCTAATCTCATTATTATTACTATGTGTTCCTTAGTCTGTTTCTTTGATTTGTTATGCTCATTGTATCAAGTTATCTGTCAGTATTAGATTCATTTTCCTAGTTACCCAGTTTCTGTGCTCTCTCTCACTCCATCCCATTTTCTTTCTCTCTCCTCTCACACCTGCAATCCGTTTCCAATCAGCCATTTGTTCAGTATATCTACAACTTTTTTCAGCCACAACTGTGGTTGATTTTTAGATATTTGGTGAAGTTGATGGGTGGTTAACATCGGTGGGTAACATTGTCTTCACATGTAAGTTTTGGTCAATCACCCAAAATTAAGGAAATTGGGACCTATTTGTTGGTGCTAAGTTTTAGAGATTTAGAAAATTTCAACTGAACTAAACTAAAGTCTATAGTGAAATATTTTAGTTTGAGTAACCTACAACTTATTAGTCCATAGGTGCTGTTTAAATTTAGTCTGTATTTATGTATGTATGGGGTGAGAGGTGGGGTACACCCTGGACAGGTTGCCAGTTTGTTACAATACAACACAGAGATACAGGACGAACAACCATCTACACACACACACTCACGCCTCAGGACATAGACCAGTTAACCGTAACGTCATATTTTTAGATTGTAGGAGGAAGTCAGTGGATGTGAAACACAAACTCCTGTAATTTCTCCCCCTGTTTATGATCAGGCATGTAGATGAATACCTCTGCTGTTTGTTAATTCTCCACAAGGTGGAGACAGCAATCAGTTCTCTGATTTGTGAAGAACTAATTCTTTCGCATGCCTCTCATTAGCTCTTGTTGACAAATACACATTGAAACACTGTTTTTTATTTTTATGTGTTTCATTGACATTTTTAATCAACTTTCAACAAAGCAACAGAATAAAATATTTTTTTCATTTTGGGGGGATGTTGCTGTGTAGTTGTTAGAATTTTTAAAAAAAAATTATGTTCAGTTTTTGCAGCCAAATGGAGTCACTGCAGTTTGAACCCTAAATGTGAAAGAATGCAACATGAATAAACAAGTGGGTATGAAGGAAATTAGAGTCAGCTGGTGAGGCTGGCTGCCAGAATGGCTGCGTGGCTCACACAAACTTACTCTTGAGGCTAAGTGGAACTAGAAGCTTCTTCAGAACACAGATTTATTGTATTTTAGCTTTAATAATCGACCCAGAGCTTTATGAAGAAACAGGCATACGAGATGTGCTTTATTCTCGTCTTTAGGCATAGATAGAAATGATCAAACTGTTTAAATATTTTTCTGTTCTTTTTTTTTTTAGTCGAGGTAGTTCTGATCAAACCTCATGCAGAACGTGCAGCAACACGCTCACCTCTCCCGTTTTGGCTCAACAATATAGTGACTCAGTTTGCATGGAAACAGCGAGCGGATTTACGAGAATTTGTTCCCATGACAAAGATGCCTGACAACTTTTCAGAGCCGCGGCCTCTGAGTAACAAAAAGCTTATTTGTTCCTGATGGGAAATCGGCCCTCGCTCCCACTGCCAGGCTGAGTCCACCAGCAATGAGCAGCAGTGAGGACGGAGGAGGGGTCGGCATGCTAAACGCAACCTTTGTGTGAGTGCAGCTTTTCCCAGAACATGTCCAGTCTGCACTGATGAAGTCTCATAGAGGACTTAAATCAGTAGCTGGCTGCTCATTCTGACATGGTTTAAAGTGTAATACAATGAAGTTGCTCTTGTGGTTTGTGCCAGCAGTGACAGTTTATGATATGGGCTGTTGTCCAGGGCGGCATCAAAAGAGATAGAGCACCCAAGAGCTAGAAAATAAAATATATCTTTATCTCATTTTTTTTCTTTTTTTTTGTTTTGCACCGTGTAGTTAGAAAACAGCACACTTAATTTTTATCATTTATATATATATATATATATATATATATATTGCATCAAGTTAATATGACGTTAAAGTATTTTGTGCACACCTGTAAACTTTGACCAAATTCTGTTTGAGGACTAAATAAAATAAGTCAATGGAAAAACCACTGAAACACCTTAAAAATTACCTAAATAATAAAAAGTATCAATATTGTTATTGGTAGTGCAATCAGCCATACGGCCCTGTATTTATTTGGTATCGGGTCGACACCAAAATATACAGAATCGTACACCTCTATTCAACATATCAACTGGCTGAAGTTTTTCAGCACAGAAAAAGAATCTGATTACAATTTTAGAATCACCAAACATAAAAATTATTCAAAATCTATCCTAACAAACTGAGGTTATAATTACTTCTGGATGTAAAAATCTTTCAGCAAAGGGGCAGAGAGAGAATTTCATACCCAAGTAGCTGGATGTTTGTAGTCAGACCTCTCTTGACTGGTGGATGGGAACCAAGACATGATGGGGTTTGGTGGCGGTAAAAAATAATCCCGTCACCAGAAAAGTAGAGACTCTTGAACAAAATCTTGAGAGTGAAGTTCAAATTCGAGGGCTGACCTCTGGCTCCAGTGAAACTCTTTGGTCAGTCTGGGGATCGTCTTCCAAAATCCTGCAAATAAAAGTCTAACACGATCTCTGCTCCCAATCTTTCTTCCGAGAAACTCAAACCAAATTCTTCTCTGCTCGTCGTTCTATAATTCCAGGGTTGCATAATGACGATTGGCGGACATAACTTCCTCAATTTGCACCTTACAAGGTTTTGGGCCGATGTTTTGCAATTCTACGTGCCTTTCTTTGCTGAAAAATACCTTCAAGTCTGTATTTCTGTTTCAGTTCAGTACTTTTTTCTTTTTTCTTCCCCAATGCCTTGATTAGCCTCCTTTAACGATCCTTACTTTATTGCATATACATCTGATTTAAATACACACAAAATCACATCGCCACCATGTATTATACTGTTTACTTTGTTAATAGTTATAAGAATAACACTGCAGCCATAAACCACATTTTTCCACCTGATCATTGTCTGCAATGTGTTTCTTAAAATCAACAATGAGTTGCACATGATTCTTTAAAGGTTTGTCACATGATTTAAAAAAATATTCTTTATTGCAAATATTAAACTTCCCCTTATCTCTGACTTTTGCTTTGATTTCCTCTCCTGTAGCTTCCTTTGTCTGTTCCTATAATTGTTCCTGTTCAGCGTTAAAGGACGCAACATTTAACCAGCATAACGACAGACTGGTCTTTAATGGGATTTGTTTTGCGTCATCTACTCAGGGCTGTTGAACCCGGCACCTTTTGCTTTCACTGAGCAAACAAACTAGGGGATTTTGATCTTTTGACAAATTTGACTCAAAACAGGAAGTGTTGTCTTTCTATGTGTGAGAAGAAAACGTGTGTTACCCCACTTCCTTTTTCTCAAAAATATGTTGTCAAAATTTAAGTTTTAGATCTAACATTTGGTAGTTTAGAAAAGTGGAAAATCATTAATTTCTTTCATTAACACAATTGTAAATGAATCATACATTTTATTCCGAAGAAATAAAAATGCTATTTCATTCTGTATGGATCACTGTATAGGATGAGATGAAAAGGAAATATTTTTCCATATCCCAGATGCTCTGGGATTTTTCCTTGCCTGGCTGCTCTGTTGTGTCAGTCTATAAATCTGCTCCTCTTCAGGCTGACTGCATTAAAGAATCTGGTTCCTTCTTGACCTGACGGTCTCCTCTGGTTGTGGTAAACATTAGCATCTTCTCTGGTTGTGGATTCTGCTTTTGCTTGCGTTTAGATTCGTGTTCCTGGATCTGAGATTTTTCGGGAATCCCCCTCTCAAACCGGATTCCTGGTTTTCCTCCATTCCGAACCTTTACGTGTTCCTCTCCTGTACACGTCCTGGAAAATGTATGATAAACACAACATCCCATTCACCACTCATCCTGGATTAATCAGAACCTCTAAACAGGAAAAAAAAAAAAAAACAAGAGTCAAAACATTCAATTCAGAAATTATCTTGGAACTTCATTTATTTTTCTCTTCCTCTTTGATTGTTAGTTTGAACAGACTAATTACAAATCAGGTAATCAGGTAATGTTTCACTTACAAAGAATCTGCATGTTGGTCATAAATATTTGTCTGCTGCTGCACCTAATGGTAAATCATTTGCTTTTTAGAAGAGTCATTTGTGTGAATGATCCTGTTAGTGATGTTGAACTCCTGTTATTGTGAACACATTTATATGCTTGGCTTATTGAACCAAGAAAAACAGTCAGTCATCTTCATCTTGTGTAATATGAACGTTTATGTCATAGTGTTTTGTACATTCAAGCAGAAGCAGTAGCTCTGATGTGGGAAGCTTGTCATGTTTTGTTATTTCTACTCTTTGAAGTGTTCGATTTTTAAGTCCTGCTGTGAGTGACATATAGCAGAGTTGTGTTGTGTGCTCCTAATTAAAAAAAATCTCGCTTTTCAAAATGTACACAGACTATTGAGCAAGCAATATTAAATTCTATACACTGACCGCTAATGCAGAGCATTTCTATTTTTGACTTCCATGTAAACAAAAAACATGCCATAGAAAAGATTTATGTGCAGCTCTGTTACATTAGTTTCCTGTTGTTTTTGTCTTGGGAGGAACATTTTCATCACAGAAGCTTTAATTAAAAGAATGACAAAGGAAAAAAAATACTTGGTGACATTTAGTGTGGAAAAAATTAACTGCACAGAATTAAATATGATCTGAGATGAAGGTTTAAGATGATTTTGAAAAAAAAAAAAAAAAAAAAACAAAACAAGAGGAGCACCACAGAGTTAAAACGGACTCGGTGACAGTCCCAGTGGGGCTATCAGATGAATGTTTCTCACTGGGCGGACTTACAATTCTCTTATTCAGAACGTGCATGGCCTGTATGTGTGGACAACACCCTAAAATGACCCAGTTTTGAGCTGCAAGTCTCTGAAGGCTGCCTGAGCAAGATAACTTCGCGACATGTTTGGGCCATGAAGACGGGGACGGTGTGCCATACAATGAGCCGCAGGACAGCTTTGAGGTTTGGTGCTCCAGCTGCATGAAGGAGATAAAGGGGAAAAAACTGCATCCAGCTGCTTCTGCTGATGGAGGCATAGAGGTTTCAGTTCTTTCTGGGGAGGAGTTTCAGGGTGGTGGTGCTTTTATGACATCACATGTTCAGTGACTACAGATGTTAACTCATCTAGTGACTTCGTTGTAACAGCAGACATCCATCCACACTGAGCAAAAGTCTGTTTCAATAGTTTAAAACATGTTCTGATGTTTTCACTCCAATTTTGACACACACCATGTTCCTTATGTTATTTATGAAACAACACTTGTCAGGCACCAGTCACTGGCTGGAAACACAGGCACAAAATGCCACAATCAAGTAACTATGTTAACTCCAGTTTTTATAAAAGTATATATCAAATGTGACTTACATTAAAAATTGTATTTCATAATTTAACTCCTTGAAATTGGGCCTCTGTCTCTTTAAGAAGCTCCTGCGCATATTCTGAAATGCCGCCTTCAGGAAGTCATCACAACATGGCTCCTCTATTAACCCTTTATTAAGGGTTAAGGGTTAATAGATAAAGGGTTATGCTACGCAGCATCTCAGCGTTTCACTGAGAAGTAGCTCCTATAATGAACTCAGCTGATGTTCAGTTCCACCAGGTGTTTGCTAATTGCTGCTGGTTAGTCTGAAGGAGCTGATCGGGGAAGTCTTGGGGTAGAGGAGCTGTGTAAGGCAGAATCTCAGTGGCTTGAAAACTGCAGCTTGGAGGAGGTGCTTCATCCTCTAAGCCCCAAAGCATTTTGCACAGCTGAATGGTTGCCAAGGGAGATTCAAGGATTTTTCAATCATACATGAAAGAATCAAGGCAACACTCCAGGAATGTGTTTGATAACGGAGTAACATTACAGCATGATGTAAAGCTAAAAAAAAAGTTGATTTTACATAATACTGTCCCTTTTAAATGTTTTTTTTTTGTTTGTTGTTTTTTGTTTTAAGTATTTAAAATAATTATTACAGGGGTTTTTTTTGTTGTTGTTTTTTGTTTTTAAAAGAAAAAAAACCCAATTAGGTTTGTATCATTTTTCTGCAAGCACTGCAGAATTGTCTGTAGAAAAGCTCAGATTATTGTCCTAGGCAGTGTTGAAAACTTTCTGCTCTACCACATACAGACGATGACATCACAAGCTAAAGAATAGCCTTTGAGACTCTTCAATCTGAAGGAAAAATCCAAAAAGTAAAAGATAACTGGAATATCTTTATAAAACACTTAACCTGTTGTTCACAGGTTGTCATTCACAATAGGACCCAAATTTGGGTCCTCTCGTGAATGACAGGTTAATAAAAAAAGCCACTGATCTTTAATTTTTTTTTTTTTTTTTTTAATCAGATTATATTGCTCAAGTAAAATTTCTTGAACTGGTTCAGTTTCTACTATGTCAGGGTTTCTCAACCTTTGCTCTTCCACGTGACTCTGTGCACCAGGTAAAGGAGGATTTGACATTTTTCACACAAAGGCACCAACATGCTGTTGGACCAGATCTAGGGAAGTATGCAGGTGCTTCTGTGTTTTTCGAAAATAAAACTGTTCTTAAACCCCCACTTGTCAACACCACAAAAATTAGTACACATACTAACTGATTGCTCAGCACCTCAATACCACTGGACCAAAAACCTGTTGCTAGTCCAGGAGCCAATGGTTGGAGATCTTTGTAAAATATAGTCTAAATAACAATGTTATATTGTGGATAATTACTT